TTTATTCAAGTGTAGAACATTATACCTGGATGAGGGAGAGGGGAAGCTTAGATTATAAAGACATTAATGATTCTGGTTACCAAAGGCTGATGCTCCACTAGTTTATTTTTAACATGTAGATGACTAACCTAAAATTATTAAGGACTTGTTGTTTAAAAATTCTCATGTGCTTAATTGTGTAGGTATATCGCAACTGCATTTGGAAACTGGACAATTCATATGTGCAATCAACCCAGTGACAGGGGGATGACAGAAATGAACTTGCAGAGCCCAGTGCTGATAGAAGCCAGCAAAGAAGAATGTTTCTGTGTAATTTGTCCTTAGTGAAAAAGCAGTCCTTTTTTCTGGTACTTGCAGACTCTGTTTGGAGGCTGTGTGTTGTGAATAAGACTCCTTATAGGTCACTGTGTGAGGACAGGCTAACTACTTTTAATCACAGCAGAGGGACAATTAACTGCTGAGCCTATATGAAGGGGCAGGAGAAACATGGGCAAAAGACTTAAGGAGCCAGGCAGTAAGTAAACAAGGAATTATGGATGCATTTGTTTTTCCTTTAAAAGGACAAAGTAAAAAAATAAAATAAAATAAAATAAAATAAAATGATGGTGATGATGGAGGCAGCAGTGAAGGGAACCTGAAGAAACAATGATGATGGGATGCAGAAGCTGCAGGGGGTACAGATCCTTGAGCAAGTATCTGATGGCAGCTATTAATACATGAAACCTGGCCTGCTAAAACTCATGGAAAAAGGTCTCAAGAACTAAAAGCGTAGCTGGAGATAGATATGGAGTTCAAATGGGGAAATTAAGCTGTACAGATAACACAGATACGAGGACGTAACAGAGGCTGCATAGGCAACTCTGTATTTGCAGAAGACCTTCAAATTAGAGCAGGTTAGAGGTGCACCAATCTATCAGTCCATATTGGACAAGCACTGATGAAAGAAATTAACATTATCAACAATTGGCTTTTTTTGGCCAGTGTAGCCAATAATGTCACCAATAAATGCTGTGTGCATGCGTGCAGCCACAGCCAGGAATGCAGCCCAACAGTTTGGAGTGCAGCATCTGACCAGTAAGTCTGTGGGAGGAAAGGGATGTGGGGGCAGGGCAAATTGACCCTGGAGCCCTGGGCAGCTCATCCAGGGGGTGCAGAGTTGAGGCGAGTCCCCACCACTGTGTGCATCCCCAGGGGAGACATGGGGGCATGTGTCCCACCCCGGATTTGTGCGTGGGACAAGGGCAGGCTGGCCACTTTGGGCTCAGGGCCAGGGGCTGTGCCAGCCTCTTCTCGGTGGGCAGCTGGGCCAGGGCTGCGCTGGGGGCAGGTGGGGTCTGAGCAGACAGTGGTGCTGGGAGAGGTGGCTACAGGGAATTTTGCAGTGGCTATAGCCCCCACCAGCCCCAAGCATAGCCCCAGCCCAGCCAAGCCCCCCTGCACTGGGAAGAAGCTGGCACAGCTTCCAACTTCAGCCCACAGCCTGCCTTTGCCCTGCACACAAATCCAGAGGGGCACATGCCCCCCATGCCTCCTCTGAGGATGTGCACAGCAGTGGGGAGCTGCCCTGTTCCCTACCCCACACAACCCTCAGACAAGTTGCCAATGACTCCATCCTGCTCCTGGGGGTGCATTCACCACCATAGCTAGGCAGCACTAGCCCCTGCCCCAACCCCAGCCCTACTTCCTCCCTGACCATGGAGTCCTTGATCTGCCCGCCCCCACCCCCCATGCCCCTTCCCCATGCCTCTTTC